ACCAGCCTAGGTAACTTACTGAGTCCCTGTCTCAAAATAAAAAGTAAAAAGAAGTGTCTTGGGCAATGAAATTTGGTGGTACAGCACACGTCTAACACGCATGAGCACCTCGTTTCAATCTCCAGTACTTCCCCCTACCCCCAAAGGCCAAGGATCCACAGTGCAGCCAGCCCTCACCTGGGTTCCCAGAGCCAACAGCAGTGGGTAAGTGTCACAGAGTGTCAGGGGTGGGGCAGCTCAGGGCCGCTTGCTGATTCATCTGTTAGGGTTGGGGTGCCAACCCCAACCTGGAGTAGAGCTGGCTCTCAGGTCCATAGCTCAGATATGGGAACATTGTTCTATAACAACAAAGCAGGACCAGGACAGGGTCAGAGGCCATTGTGCATGTGTGGGATTAGGGTGGGGTCTTCAAGCCAGGTCTGAGCAGAAAGGCACCCCAGATGACAGGAATACCTATAGGTTCTGTGTGGGGGCCCACAGAGGCTCCCTAGCAAGATCTTACTCAAGGTCAGGAAGTCTGAGCTTGCTTTGTCTAGCAGGGCTGCATAATGGGATGATTTGGCCAAAGGCATGGTTACCATGTATTTTGAAGAGTCTACACTTGTTGGTCCTTTATACCTTGACCTTGAAAGGGGGAGTCTTTTGCTCGTCCCCTTGCTGATGTATAAAAACCCATCATGATTAAACTCGGGACTACTGGGTATTGACCCAGGGCCCTCCCAAAGCTATCCTGTGTCTCTGTCTTTCTAGTCATCTCCACCTATATTTCTATCTAATACTTCCTCATTCCTCTCTCCTCCCTCCAAGAACCCTTCGACAGGTCAGAGCTGGCCTCCACAGTCCTGGCCCCTCCCAGTTCCAGATGCTGGGGTATAGTCAGACTCCCCAGGCTCAAAGCCTGGGGTTCTATCCCCAGCACGGCACAAACCAGGCATGCTAGTGCACACCTACAATCCCCACACATGGATGTTACCTAACCTCAGATTCCCCACTGGTGACACAGGATGTGGGGTTAACCGAGTTAATCCATGGAGAGCATACAACACAGAGCCTGGCCCGTGGCAAATGCTAATGAATGTTAGATGTTATTGTTGTTACTATTATTGGTTACACTGGTGGGAGCCTGGTAGTATGAGTGGGAGAGCATGCAGAAAGGCTACTGAGGATAGCCCTGAAGGTTGAGTACTGCACAAGCCAGGGGATCAATCACTCAGTAGCCCAGAGAATGGTACCTTTTTAAGGAACAGCATAAAACCTGCATAGCAAGAACACTGGCTTTGGGCGCTCTGGGTGACCCCACTCGAATTTCAGACTAGCAGGTGCCACTTGGAAGGGATTCTTTTATTAAGGAGGTCCTGATGGGCACTGTAGCTCAGTGGTAGGGTGTTTCTCTAGCATGAGTCCCCACAAGAGAAAAACACAAAGGACAGAGTAAAGTAGAACTTTTGAGTCAGCGTGGTCACACTCTTATGTGGTGGGCTTTGACCAAATCACTCCTTTCTGAGCTTAAATTTCCCCCATTTTTTTTTAAACCAGTTTTGAGAGACCAGGCTAGTTCTGGGATAGTAAATAAACTTCATCCTTGCAAATCTGTACTTCAAGTACTGATACTTGAAGCTCTGTAAAGTGAGAAGTCTAAGGCTACTCATGGATGGGTAGGAAGGACTCTGATTGATTAGTAATGTCTGCACGGAGTCAGGCACACACTACGGGGTCACAAGTCTGAACATACCTGCCTTGCTTAAATTAGCCTTGTGGTGGATTCTCAATCCTGGTTGCTGGTTAGAATCACTGGAGGAATAAAAGCCTTTGGTTCCAGGGATATGGCTGGCTATTGAGAACTCTGGTGGCCAAAGTTCCTTATAGCTGCTAGCTTTCCTGACCCTGTGACTTCACTGACCTGGGGTCCTGCATTTTGCACCTTGGAGCATGGTTTCTCTTCGGAGTGCCATGTTCTCTGTCAGCCAGAGCTGGAAGGGACATTCAAGTGCACCCTCCCATCAGTCTTGCTTCTGAGCACAAACAGAAACTGAGGGCGTTGGTTACAATCAGGATGTAGAGTTACTATGATGGGCTCTTCCCAAGACATATGGAAAACCAGAGTTTTGCATCTGGGGGATCTTGTGAAGCTGAGAAAAAAGCCTTGTCTACTCTGCCTTGGACCCTGTGGTCTTTTTCGAGCCACTCTGGTTGCCCAAGGTAGGAACTTGGGATGAAGAGGTCTGCTGAGGCTCAAGGAAAGGCAGCACACCTCAAAATCACAGACACAGCACTGACCTCCAGATGGAGTGTGAGGGGAGGGGGGGCGAAGAAAGCTGGCGGGGCCTCTGAGCTCCAGGGAATGGGGGATCCTGGGCCTGGAGGTGCTGCATTAGGATGTGGGCAACCCCGGATATTGACTGCACCTCCAAATTAGGAGAGGCGACACAGGCAAGGTGCTCTGGGAGTCCACCTGGTTTGGCCCCCTTCAGGGGACTTAGCATCCGGCCAGCTTTCCTCGGTCCCTCCTGTCACCCAGCCTGGGAATTTCCTGGTGGTCATGCAAGCTGTGCCTCCTGATGGGACACAGCTGGCTCCCCTTGGAGCAACGTAGAAACAATCAAATCACATAGAATTCCGTCGTATTTTAAAATAAGCTTTATTTAGATTTTTTTTAATATTTTATATTTTGCATCCATGCCTTCGAGAAACCTCTCCCACGGGAAAAGGTCGTTCTCATCTATAGTTACCCATAACTCATTCGCTATTTGACGTGGTTCTCTCAAATAAATCATTCTTAGTAACTCTTAGGACGATCTCCTAATTTCCAAAAACTGAAATGAAAAGGAATGACTAAGTCATTACCAGGAGTGGTTGCAATCTTATTTTCTTGTAAGTAAGAGGGGAGGGGGAATCATAAAAAACAAATAAAATAAAATAAAATACAAAAATTCAATGGGGGGGGGAAAAGTGTTTCCTAAGATCTCCCCCGAAGCCAGCTCTGGCCTCTCTCCCTCGCCATCAGGCTGGGTTAACCAGCTGAGCTGAAAAAGAGACAGGGAAGCTCACTGGGTGTCCCTGCCTGCTCTCTCAGCCTCCGAGCTAGGTTGGGAGGGAAGAGGGGACCTGGCGGGGGCTTTTTGGCTTGTTTTAGAGGCTTTGGGCACAAGATCCTATACATTCCAGATGCTCCATCCAGCACTGGAAAATCTCTTCTTAAGAACTGAGAATGCTGCTGTTGTTAGTGGAAGGTGCCACAGAGGCCACGAGGGTGTGGACTGAGGGTTAGTGGTTAAGGATCAGTAGAAAGGGGGGTCCTGGGACAAAAGAAAAGGGAAACTGAGTTTTAGGGTGGGGCAGAACTGGCTGGAAACTCTGGGTTCTCCATGCCCTGATGAAGCCCTGTGGGGCAATGCTGCACCCCAAACAGCCATAGGTATCCGCCAGCCCTCATGGGATGAGCCTGCTTGAGCTGCTGATAGAATTGGAGGACAGGGCTCTGGGGATTCCAAGAGAGTCCATGTGTGGCTGAAGAAACCAATTGGAAAAGAGGGCAGAGGGCTCACCTGCCAGATATTCTCCCCGACAGCCCTTCCCAGAAGGTGGGCATCTTCTCTGTTGACATCTGCCTGGCCCATGTGCGGAATAAACTAAGGATAGAGAGGCACTCGAGTGCGTGCATGTGTGTGCACGTGTGTGTGTGTGTGTGTGTGCCACTGGAGGCCTCTTACCCAGCTGACTCAGGCCCAGAGGTCTGGTCAGACCCTATGGATGTGCCCCAGGCTGTGCTTCCCTGGACTCAATCAACATGGCTCCAAAGACAGGCCCAAGAGAAGAGGAACGTGATCACTAGTCTCTGCTCACTGAAGTCACGTTCTGCATGTCAGATAAATAAATATATATAGAGAGAATATATATAGAGGGAGGCCAGAGCAGAAGGTAGGAGTCCTCTCATGCAGGGACAGCAGCCGGGAGAGACAGAAAAGAGAAAAGAGAAAAGAGAATAAGCAAGCTGGCCATCTGAGGTCCCCAGTTCTAGCCACCCTAATTCTACCTTGCACAGTGTCTGCAGCGGCATGAACACAGAATAGACAAGTCAGCAGAAATGCCCGCCTCCCGCCCACCCCGTGGAAAAATATACATTCCGATATTCACGTAATAATTTAGATAGAATACGTTTTCTGCATTTGTGCAAATAAGTTAAATGCAACAGTTCTCTCTCTCTTTTGTTCCAGAAAGAAAGAAACAGCAACACAATTTAAAAACAGGCAGGCCGTTAAAAAGAGCCTGTATGACCCCATAAACACTGTAGCCCAGCCAAGGCTTCTCGGATGGACTCACGAGTCTCTGTGGAGTGACCTTACCCTGACAACGATGACGGGGTGTTTTGGTGGTTAAAGTGACTTGGGCACACCCCAAGAACAGGGTCTGGTCCCACATGTTCACACTGAGGGGTTGGGAGGAGGGGGGACATGGAAAGCAGACCACATCCTTGGCGACATGGGCTGCAGTAGCGGCTGGACGAGGGACTTTACGAGCACAAAGTGCACACTACTTTTGTTATTTACAAATACACAGCAGTCCTTCAAGTGTTCAAGTTTCATAAAAAGGAGGAGGGAGGAGAGAGGGGGAAATTCAAAACAAAAATACAACGGATTAAACAAACAAACAAAAAAAAACCCCCAAACATCGAAAAACAAAACAAACAAGAAAAACGAACACAACTGTATCGCTCGGAGACAACAGAGGTGACAGAGTCACACACGGTCTGTGGTATGTACATCGATTACAGAGGTGGCGACGCGAGGCGGGCGGGATCACATTTGTGTTTCTGCCTGTCCTAGGCGCTCAGCTACACACACCCGTGCACACGCACCCCACGCAGGCCCCGTGCCCCCATGCACACACGCTCGCACGCTCCATGGCTCATCCACACACAGACATGCCCACGGACAATGGGCGAAGGGTGGTGGGTTATCACCAGTCCGCGTCCTCCTCTATGTAATAATCAGGGGCGGTACCATCAAAGAGGCCCGGGTCGAGGGACTTCCGTTGCTTCCCTCTGGCGAAGACTCGAGAGATGGAGCCGAATCCCATCTTCTCTTTCTTCTTTTTCCGTTTTTGGTCTTCAAGATCCTCTAGTGACTGAGGCAGAGGGAAGAAGAACAAAGGTAAACTTAGCTTGGTGGATGGAAGGGCAGGGAGGAGGCTTTCCTAACTCGTGGTCCAGGTCGAGGTGAGGGATAGAGAGCATGGGTAAGAAGCTGTTCTCTGGGGCTGGAATCCTAGGGGTCTGTCCCTTGTCCTCTGGGCAAACTGAGGTTAGTTTAAAAGCCTCTCATTGACAGTACCAGAACCCACTCAAGACTGTCCTGAGTATATCGCTGATGTAAGGCGAAGAAAGACACTTAGGATGGATCCTGGCTTGGCCACCATGTTGGAGCTGCTCCAGCTGCTTGGACTATTACTATCACTTAAGTGTGCAGACTGAAGGAACATACCCATGAACTTGACCACTGCCTGTGGTCACTCTGATGCAGGGTGTACAGGCTGTGTGCTGAGCTGACGCATCAACACATGCCGAATGCGGAACAAGGCCAGGCTAGGAACTCTGACAATGATCTCGTAACTGGGGGTTTGGGGTAGCACCTGCTGAGAGCTTCACAAACGGCCAAATGCTTTATGCACTGACATGTGGTTGGTATTATCTACAGAAAAGGTAGGGCATAAACTAGACTTAAGGCTCCCAGAACACTTTAGAATGTCTTGGAATGCAGCCCCTGCCCCTAATCTGGCCTGGAATCACCACTGGGTGGGGCCTAGGAATTTGCAATCAAGATGTATGCAGTGTTCTCCAGGGGAACCCTATGCAGATGGATGGTGCAGAGCCAGAAAATGGGAGACATCATAACATGAGAGATGCTGCCCTCAAGTTCTTCCCTGTGCATCTTTCTCACACCGACAACAAGAAAGGGGGTAGACTTGGCAGCAGCCGGGGGCCCAAAGTGCCCACTGTCTGAGGTTCACCTTTAAAGAATGAAGCGAACGGTAATTCAGAGGCATTGGTGCAAGGAAGGAGGCTGACCACAGCATTAGGATACAGGATGTGTGGTGTACACAGTGGGCAACAGGTCAGGCAGAGAGCATGCCAACCTGGCTCGGGGGCCAGCACCCATGTGACTCAGAGGGGTTCAATTCCTCTCTATCCTGGGAGTTCAAAACTGGCATCGGGGTAACTGAAGGTTCAGAGCAACGAGGCTGGAAGAGTGTTGGGGGATATTCCTTTAGGCAGGAGGAGGTTAGGTGGGACTTCTGGGGAGAGGGCTCAGAGAGGAAGAAAGGTGGAGTCGCCAGCCAGACGCGGTGGAAGCAGGATGGGCAATACAAAGTAAAGGTAAGTGAGCCGCACGAAAGAACACAGATTAAAAAATATGGGTTAATTTAGGCTGTAAGAACTAGTTAGGAACAAGCCTAAGCCAAGGCCGAGCTTTTATAATTAATAATAAGTCTCCATGTCGTTATTTGTGAGCTGGCGACCCAAAGGAAAATCCGTCCGCAGAAGAGGGTCAAGCTGGGGTGGAGGGAGGGCAGGCAGGGAAGCTATACCCACCTGTACAATAGGACTGTGCAGGCTCTTCTGAACCGGGCCGGGACTGTCGCCCTGTAGCCAAAGGAGAAGAAGATGAAGCGGCGGACACATGACACACGACAGCACAGGTGGCCCACGAGGATGGGGACGGGGTGGGGGTGGGGGGTGGTGTCTTCCCTGGAAGGAAGGAAGGAAGCCACCAACTCCTCCAGGGCTGCCCTGCCCTCACAGTGGAGATCCTTACCCTCTGGCACTTCCACAGATCTGACTGATGGGCCTGGGGCTCATCAGACATCAAGTCAGGGGACCTGATGGGCTCTCCTGCATGCTCTGGCCTTTCAACCCTTAACCCTTTGAGGCTTAAGTTCCTGCCTTAATTGGTCCATGTGTTCAATTAAGTATTTTTTTTTTTTAAATAAAGACATCAACTTTAATGGAAAAAGCACCTAAGTGGGAGGGAGTTGAGATCAGTGATAGATGCTTGCTAGCAAGCCCTATGTTCTATTCACTGAAAAGGAAAAGAAAAAAAAGTATAACAACAAATTAAACAATTGACTCAGGAGACCACATGGTCACTAAAATACCCCGAAACCCACACACCAATTCCCTTCTTTTGTGGAGGGGCTGCCAGGAACTGTTAGTAGGGTGCAGGTATAAGCAGGACTCCACCGACAATCTCTTACAGAGCTAATAACAAATAGAGTTGGGACTCAAATTTGGGGTGCCCGATTTCTCCTAGCTCTATGCTTTTTCCAGGCAGGGTGTCACAGCAAGTACACACTGGGTCCTGACTGCCTGGGAACCTGCTTACACAGGTCCAGACTCTTTTCAAATTCTTTCTTGGGAACATCAGATAGCCTGTGGGTAGGGAAGATATTTCCATGGGTCATCAATTATGTTCCAGTAGGTAGGACATTTGCATGGGTTGCCAACTATGTTCCAAATGGGTAGGAAAGGGACTCTTAATAGCCTGCGAATGTGTAAAAGTTTTTACTACATCTGTGAATCATGTCTGCCCTACCTGGGAGCAGACAGCCCATTGAGATTACAAAAGGCATTACTAGGGAGACTCCTGGTGGTTGTTTCTGGAATTGCAGGCACAGAATTGCCCATGAAGAAATAAACAGACCAATGAATGTCTCTTAACATCCAATTTCCCCTCCGGGTGGTGGTGAGACATGCCTTTAATCCCAGCACTTGGGAGGTAGAGGCAGGCATATCTCAGTGAGTTTGAGGCCAGCCTGGTCTACAGAGTGAGTTCCAGGACAGCCAGGACTGTTACACAGAGAAACCCTGTCTGGAAAACCAAACCAAACCAAACCAAACCAAACCAAACCAAACCACAAACAACAAACAAACAAACAAACAAACAAACAAACAAGCCATCCAATTTCCCTGTACTGAGTCCTCATTTCTGCTCTACTTAGTGGTCAGAGAGTGAGGTGTTCTTTAGTCCAGTCTGTGTTGATTTTATTGGTACCAGGTCAGATCCCTGCGGACAGAGCGCTACCTGGAGCCGTTTTCTGGCTTTTTAACTTACCTATGTGCACACCTGTTGAGATGGGGACTAAAGGGGGTTTGGAGAGATCTGTCAAACGGCAGTCCAGACTGTGGTCCAGACTCAAGGTGTGCAAACAAAATCTACTCTGCAGGCAGCTGCGACAGCTCCTTTGTGAAGTAGCGTCTTTTCTAAATATGTATAAGATACCTCAGGCAGCAGGTACGTGCTGAGGCTGGGAAGAGGCTGGTCTGTGTCAAATGCAGTTCTGGGAGCTGGGAGTCCTCCTGTGGGTGGATCTGTCAGCAGTATTTCTGTTCCTGAGGTCACCAGGAGAAGGTCAGCATGGCCCTTAGGAAGGTGCTCCTGTTTGGGGGTGTGTGCATCTGCCAAAGAGTGTCTGCTAAAGACTGAGAATCTCCACCTGCGTGGTAAGGGTAGGGCACTCTCCACTATGATCCTTTCAGCTGAAAAATGGGTGACAGAGACCTTGGAGTGGTCCTCCTTGCTCTCTTGGTCTGTCAGCCTCATCCCCAAGACTGTGGACAAGAGAAGTCACACTGCTCCGTCACAGCCTCTGGAAAAGAAGGGACCCTAGCCCTGCCATGGGCAATGTGTAGCCTCTGGGCCAGTAATCCCAAGGCCACCCAAGCAGGCTGGGGTGCCTCTTTCAAGTTTAGTCTTAGCGATTTTGAGTATGTGTGTACGCACATGTGGGTTTATGTGAGTATGTGAGTGTGCGTGTAGCCCAGAGGCCAACCTTAGCGTCATTCCTCAGGAGTCACTCACTGTATTCTGAGACAGGGTCTTTCACTGGCCTGAGCTCACTGAGTAACAGGGCTGGCTGGCCAGGAAGGCCCAGGGATCCTCCTGTCTCTACCTCCTCAGTGTTGGGATTACAAGTGCACATCACTGCGCCTGGCCTCTTTGTGTGGATTCTGGGGACTTTCCTCCGCTCTCCACGTTTGCCCAGCACACACTTCAACAACTGAGTCATCTCCTCAGCCCTTGTAGTCAAAGCCACTTTAATAATAAGCACTTTTCATGCTTACTGTGGATGGGGAAAAAGGTCCCCTCACTTGTACCCAGGAAAGTGGCTGTTTTTTATAACCTTACGGACTTGTTTATGGGTTCTCATAGCACGTCCCTCTTCTGAGTATCCTAAATAATCACAAAGTCAGCAAGTTCTGTTGGTTAATAAAGCAATAGTAACTTGAGTTTCTGAAAATGCCTCCTGGGGCTGGTGAGATGGCTCAGTGGTTAAGGGCACTTGCTACTCTTGGAGAGGACCTGGATTCAGTTCCTGGCACCCACGTGGTGGCTCACAAACCACCTGGAACTCCAGTTCCAGGGGAATCTGATGCCCTCTCCTGGCCTCCATGGGACCTTGCATACACACGGTGGTATACTGACACACACATGCAGGCAGAACACTCATGCATATAAAATAAAAATAAAAAAATAAATCAGAAAGAAGGAAAAAGCCTTCTTAGGCATCTGAAGATACTTTGGTGTGGCATCTCTGTCATTAGGACATGGCAGGGAAGCCCTCTGGGTTATCAACTATGTTTATGGGACAAAAATTCCAAGTGGTCCCCACCTCTGACCTTCCACGCCTCTTGGAGGCTGACATGGTTTTCAGCCATCCACTGATGCCGGGGCCATCGGCATGGAGCCTGCAGTGGAGTGGCTATGGTTTCAGAGTGTCTTCCAAAGGTTTGTTGTATTGGAAACATTGTTCCCAGTGTGCTGATGTGGGAAGTAATGGTACCTTTACAAGTAGAGCCTGGCAGGAATCATTTCCTTTATCAGTTTCCCAGCCTCAGTCATTCTGTTACAGTAAACGAAAAGTGGACTAAGAGAGCCCACCTGGAGGAATCACGCCTCTTAGCTGCTGGGGTCAGCACTCAATTACAAATGTTCTTGACTAAAAAAGTAAGATCAATTCACAGGACCTCTCTGCAGAGGACAAACATGCCCCCAACTACTGGAGTCTTAAAATGAAAACACAGCCATCTGTTTCATTCCAGGGTGAAAGATGTGAGCGGGTGCTACAGGGGACAGGTGGTCCTGTGGTCAGGCCCAAGGTCCCAGAGAGGGCCCACGATGGGGTGCACCGGGCAGGGTTCCAGGCTGCGCAGGCCCTCCTCACCCTCCCGGACACAGGAGGAAACAGGCCTCATTTCTTTCTCTCCCCACATCCACCGCTTCTCGCAAAAGGAAAGAACAGAACGGGAAATGCCTTCGCCACAGCGTTCCCTGGGTGGACGAGAGGAAAGAGCGGGCACATCTTTATCCCACCCCATGGCCCCGCCGTTTCTGGGCAGGGCCCAAGCGCCCAGGCCCTGCTGCTGCTGGCCTTACGTTGCAGAGGGAGTGCGTCCGGTGTCGTGGGGAGTTGATGTCGCTCGGGGTCGATGACCGGTCACCTTCAGCAGCAGATGCATCGGAGATGACGGAAGGCTGCCTTGAGTGGCAGGGGCTCACCCTGACCGCTGGAAAACAGGAACAGCTGGTGAGTGAGGGACACAGGAAAGACAACCCGACACACCCATTGGATGGACAACAATGCTGAGTCAGAGTGAAGGTGAGTGTGGTGGCCAGCTCTTCCCTTCTGCACCACAGTGGCTGCTGGGGAGACCCTCCCCCTTCCTTTCGATCCAGCTCAGCCCCTCCTCACCTGAGTGAGGTGACGGCCTATGAAGTCGCACCTGAACGGCTATGTAGCCCTAACCACAGCTCAATAGCAGAGTTCCAGACAAGAACCCTGCAGGCCACGACCAACTCCTTTCTTTCTCCAGTGTCTGTGAAACACAGCCAAGTCCATCTGCTCTCCTAGCCCATGGCAACTGCCATCTGTTCCCTTGAAGACCAGGGTGGCCTCCCTCCCTCCACTCCTCACAGTGAAGCCAGAATACACTCCTCCTCCTGACCTATGAAGCCTGGTGTGTGTAAACCCTGTGCACTTCAGCAGCCAGGGCTCAGTCACTCCCTCCCTGAGACACTTGTGCGCGCACATGGAGGCCAAAGATTGACAGATGTCTTTCTCTATCACTCTCCCCTTTTTAAAATTCACCTTTATTTATGTGTGTGTTGTGTGCCTGCTTGTGTGTATGTGCACCATGTCTGTGCAGTACCCGTGGGGGCCAGAAGAGGGCATCAAGCCCCCATGGAACTGGAGTCACAGGTGGTGAGCCTCTGTGTGGATGCTGGGAACTGAACCCAGGTTCTCTGCAAGAACAGCCATTGATCTTAACTGCTGAGCCATCCCTCCAGGCCTCTCTACCTTAGTTTTGGAGACAGGGTCTCTCACGGAACCTGCAGCTCACTTAATCACCTAGACTGGCTGGCCAGTAAACCATGGGACCCTTCAGTCTTTGCTTCCTTAGGGTTGGGATTACTGGTGCGCACTGCCATGCCCAGCTTCTTACCTTCTGAGGACTGAACTCAAATCCTCATGCTTCTGCATCCGGAACTTTACCAAGTGAGTCACTCTCCCAGTTCCCTTTGCCGGTCTTATTGCCGGACTTTATTTACACATGCATTGCCTGTCTGGTGATGAGTACACCATGTGGTCCTTATATGCATTCACTTCCTAGGCTTTCAGTGTCTGGCTCTTTGGAGGCACTTAATAAACTGTGGTGGACTCAAAGGTCTTGCCCAGAAGCCATAGCTAAGAAGCCCACTGGGCCCTACTGCACATCTCTCCCACAGGTCAGTGCCAGCACCACACAGAGGGAACATTGTTACCTGGGCATCCACTCTATGAAAGCATTTCTGACAGACAGTCCTTGCTACCAATGACTGTGTGGCCCAATGGGAAAGCTGCTGGTTGGCCGCTCTGAATCAGTTCTAATCTAGGTGAGTTCCTTTACAGGTGGTACAGTCCTGGGCATGCTTCTCTGAGCCAATTCAGTTATCTGAACCATGGAGGTGCCTGTGCTGCTTGGTTTTTTTGTGCCAACTTGACACAAGCTAGAGTCATCTGGGAAGAGGGAGTCTCAACTGAGAAATTGCCTCTTTCGGATTGGCCTGTAGGCAAGTGTGTGGGGGCATCATTGTTTTGAATGATGATTGATGTGGAAGGGCCTGGCTCACTATGGGTGGTGCCACCCCTGGGCTGGGTGGTAATAAGGAAGCAAGCTGAGCAAGCCATGAGGAGCAAGCCAGGGAACAGCATTCCTCCATGGTCTCTGCTTCCACCCCTGCCTCCGGGTTCCTGCCTTGACCGCTCGACATGAAGCTGGAAGCTCTCAGATGGAACAACCCTTTCCTCTCCGAGTTTCTTCTGTCATGGAGCTCACCCCAGCAACACAAAGCAGACAGGAACAATGCTAGGGACAGCCCCTCTGCAGAGTAGCGGGTGCGAGAGGCACACCTACTGTGGTGTGCGCAGCAGGAAAGGGGAAAGGAGCCGTGTGCCAAATGCCTTCCCAGCGATGGCCTGGTGTGGGGGTGGGTGACCCCCATCAGGTAAATACCGAGTTACAGAATCACAGGCGAGCCGGGTGCACGGCCAGAGAGAGAGGGCCTGGAAGCGTCTGAGAAGACATGTTTAATCAAAAGCTCCAAGGGGGCTGCAGAGGAGGAAGGGCGTGGAGGGTGGACTCTGTGGCCTGGCTAACCACAACTCCTGGTCAGCCCCACCAAGGCAAGGCCTGGAGCCGCAGGAGCAGGGACCCGAAGCACCACCATTCCATTAATTCCTGAATTGTTGCATACACTGCCCACGCACCTTTACCAGCACCTCTGCCTCCTGCCACCAAGGCGGACCAGAGGCTGGAGGGCTACCTGCGCACCTGGATCTTGGGACTGACCAGGTAGCTACCCCTGACCAGGCTCAGCATCCCTGCCTAGGGGCAGAGCTGAACTTATGTTTGATAAGGCCTTCAGTTCTGACATAGCTTCAAAGGGCTGCAGTATCCCCCGGGGGATCGGGGTGGGGGTGGGGGTGAGGGTGGGGGTGGGGACGATGACACGGGAGTATTCTTGCTTGGGTCAGCAAAGAGCAGCTGCTGTCGTCTCCATTCAGTGGAGGCAGGCTCAGAGTCTGTTTACAGAAGGGGGTCTGAAGCCCTGTGTATTCCCTGTCAGTGCTGGCAGAGAGGAAGGGGCAGCTAATATTTACCAGGGCCCCGACTTGAGAATTCTGTACACTTTACCTTTCTGGCAGTCCGGGGGCGGGGTGGGCAGAGGATCAGCAAACAGACACATAACACATGCTGTGCATTAAGAATCCAGCATCCCTCATACCAAAGGAACAGATGACCCTTGTATCGGGTCAGAGGTCACATCCTTTGAAAGTAGCGGAGCCAGGGTACGGTCTCAGCAGGGTGAACCTGTGCCTGCGACCCTCCCTCTGTGATTCAACTGCCTTACCCTACATGCTCCGTCTACAGGCAGCCAGTCCAGGACCTGTGCAGTTGTCTGTGGCCTCGTGTGAGCAGCTGGAGGGTCAGCTTTACTACAGCCCCTAGAGGAACCCTTAAGAGCGTCCGGTGGCTCCCACTGGTGCACAAGGGGATGGCAGGAGTGTGTACTGGAGTGTGTACCACAGACAGTGGGAATGGATGCCAGGTGCTCTGCTAAGTACCTGGAGCAAACATGTGTGACATTTATACCTTTTCTATATAATCTATGGACTAGCTATAGCTGTCAGTCAAGGAGCTCAGTACCCTCCCCTGATGAAGGATGCCTGGGTGACCCAGACCGACTAATCAGAACACTGGTTCTCTTAGACATTGTGATTCATTCAGGGGTGGCCATGTAACCCAGGCTGGCCAATCAGGGTAATTAGTTTTACTTCTCCTTAGGCACAGTTGAACCTCTGGACCCAGCTATACCTGAAGCCCATCTCTTAGTGGGCTGAGTTAGGAAAGTGTCCTGTGATGCTCCAGGCTGATGAAGTGTGAACCAAGAGCCACCTTTCCCACTGGGCCCAGGGCCCTCCCTTATTGCTGGACCAGGCTGGGCAGGACTCACCTTGCCGGTCTGCGGGGTGGGGAGGGTGGGAGTGGTAGAGCGTCTGCTGGCTCTGACGGATGGCGGCAGTCAACGGGAGGTCGGCCTGAACCACCCACTCCTGGTTGCCATTGAGCACCGTCTCTCCAGGCATGGCAAGTGAATGCCGCTTGGGAACATCCTTGGTCAGTGTGGCTAAGGACTGCTTGGCCTGGAGCAAAAGCAGGAGACAGGGAGAAGAAAATGTAAGCAGAGGGGACCTCTCATGCAGTTGCCTGGCACTTCTTACCACCATGGCAAGAAAGCCAAGAATTCTACTTCCACACCAGTGAGCCACCAGTCATGTGATGCATGCCATATGCCTGTAATATAGGTCTCACCCACACTCACCAGGGTCTCCCCTTCAGCTGTCATTAAGAGCAAAGTGAGACTCCCCCCTCTCTGTATCAGGGAGAAGGAAGCAAGCACACACTCATCACTTCTGGGTTCTCCAAGGACAAGCAAGGATTCTTGGTGGGTGCATGTATATGCATGTGTGTGCTGGCTGCAGGTCAATGTTAGGTGTTGTTTCGCAGGAGCCTTGTTTTTTTTTGAAACACAGTCTCTCACTGAGCTGGCTAGCAAGTCCCAGGGATCCCGTCTCCACCTTTTAACACGTGTTCTAAAGAACTGAACGCCAGTCCTCACGTTTGAGGTTCAAGCACCTTGTCAAGAGAGCCACCCCGACCCCAGCCGGGATTGTGACGGGCCTAAGAACATGGGGTAGAGGGTGTGTTCTTGAGTAAAGCTTGTAAAATGCAGGTCTGAGATGAGTTTGGGAGAAGTGAAGGTCATGGGCAAGAAGGCGGCTAAACACCCCATGATGCACAGGACAGCCGCACCACACTTATCCAGCATCTGTCAGCAACAGAAAAGGTGGGCCGCCATGCGGAACGCACACACTAAATATTAGTTCAGAAGAGGTGAGCTGGTGGAAGGCTGGTATAATTGGGCTCCAAGGGACAAGGCCCATATTGGGGGTACTGCCACAATCATGGCACTACATGTGGGGTTGGGGGTAGCGAGATCGCCTCTGCAAAGGTCTTCTCTCTGTCCTGCCTCAGAGACCTCTTAGCTTGGAGTGATCTCCTACTTCACCCAGGTAAGTGGGATTTTATCAGACAGGATCTTAAGTTTGTTGGGTAAGAAAAGGAGCATGCATTAGACATGGAATCATGCATACTCTTTCGGTTAGTCGTTTTCTATGACAGCTCTCCAGGATCCTGCAGGCCAGAGGAGGCTAATGAGGAAGGGAAGGAGACAGGGAAAAGCCCATCATGCTCCCCTGCCCCCTTTTTGGTTTTTCGAGATAGGGTTTCTCTGTGCCATTTTCGTGCCTGTTCTGGATCTCGCTCTGTAGACCAGGCTGGCCTCAAACTCAGAGATCTGCCTGGCTCTGCCTCTCGAGTGCTGGGATTAAAGGCGTGCGCCACCACCGCCTGGCCTACTTTCCCCTTTTGCAAATATCCCAGGCACATACACAGAATGCAGAGGACTGCCCAAATGAACTCACAGAACCAGCAGCCTTTCGGGGCAACATAAGAAGAGGCCCAGGCATGATGCCCTCCCATTCCCACTTGCTTTCTCCCCCGGGTGAAGGACCTCACCTCTGGCTGGGTCAGGAGTGGGCCCTCTGTGTGGAGTAGAACATCACTACCTGACAAGTGAGGGATCCCTTAGGGCTCCCGTGTCTAGATCTCTTAGCACTAGACCCAAGAGCCTCTCACGCTGTCCATGCAGGTCTTGAACTCTCTGAGAAAGATTTCCAGAGACGAGAAAGAAAGGAAATCTCTGGGCAGAGGTGAGCTGCAGAGGAGGCAGGCATGAGCTCACTCAGGCTGCGTGGACCACCTCCCACCAGCGGTCGACACAGCATGTCTGACTAATCACTTCCACTACATACAACTCAGTGCTGGGAGCTCCTCTTGAGCTCTGACCCCCCCACCCCCTCCCCCGCACTTCTCCCCGAACCTGGAGCATTGAGCTCTTGGGGATTTCTAAGCTGGGATGAATATGCTCGCATGGCCCAAGTCCAGAGAGAGCTGAGCTTGACCTCTGCTGCTCCGACGTGAGCATCCCTTGACTTCCTGCTACACTGGTGGGTCCTGGCTTCCTCCCAGAATTCCCGTGCGCTTCTGCTAGGCAGAGCAGCTCTGTTGCCTACAATCTCTGCGACTTGTGCTCTGGGAGAGGGCTCCCTGTGTCAGCCTTGACCTCAGAGCAGAAAGGTCTGGGGCTGTCCACAGCATAGCCTGAAGCCTGTCAAGTGATGAAGGGGATGTGCAGTCAGAAGGACACCTGGAGGAGATGGGGCCATCACCGGTCCATGTAAAGCACTTCCCTCTGCCTCTAGGAGGATATTTCCTGTAATGGTGATCCCAGCCTGCAGCAGCAAAGGGTCTGAAGGGGGTGGGGGTGGGGAGCTGAGAGTTTTTGGTCAGAGCGAAGCAGGCTTCAGTGTGTCAGTATGTTGGGAGCAGAAGCCAGAGGGGCTACTTCCTAGTATAGGGAACACCAGGGAACCCATAAGATACTGAGGCCAGGGCTCAAAGCACCAAGATGGGCTTCATCTATCTGTCCACAGGGACTTGGGTGATCTGGGCACACAGGGTCTTTCCCACCCACCCTGTTCAGGGCTGCAGGAAGTAACAAAGAGACAAGTGGAGGCAGTCTTCCTGCCTGGACGGCCTCACCACTAGGGGTCAGCATTGCACAAGGCAGTGGCCTCGTTCAGGGTGGTTTCACTCTAATTTTGAAATCCTGCCATCACCGTACACAGATGCCATGGTAGCTGTTTCCTTGTGATTGGTTTACATCCCCTCCCTGAAGCCCTACAGGGCATATGCAGGGATCCCTACGTAGAATGGAGGCCGAAGAGGTCAAACATCCCAACCGAGGTCTGTAACTGCATTAGCTGGTGACGGCACCCTGCAGGGTAATATACCCCACTACTAAAGAGTCACACAAGGGGGGCGGGGGAGGGGGTGGCTCACTGGGTAAAGAGGCTTGCTGTCAAGCCTGATGACCTGAGTTCAATCCCAGGACCCACATGGTAGAAAGAGAGAACCAACTCCAACAAGTTGTCCTCTGATCTCTCTCTCTCTCTCTCTCTCTCTCTCTCTCTCTCTCTCACACACACACACACACACACACACACACACACACACACACACACACACACACACCAAAATAAAAAGAGTCAACAGGAGTCACCGTACGGTCAGACCCCCGGACCTGCTCTGATCCCCACACATGTGCCACAGGCCTTTTTGAGACATGCCTTCTTGCTTCAACGGCTACCAGTGGTTTTAGATTATTAAAAACAACAAATCCATCTTTTTTTCACTTGATGACCTAAGAAAGACAATTTTGCTATAAATACATTTGGACCAAAATCCTTTAAATACCCTGCACAAATAAATAGTTGATACACATATAGGTGTATGTTACATACGCATATATAAATGTTTGTGTGTATAGATAGGTAGATATTGCCATTTGTAATCCTAGAATCAGAGATGTTATTATGTTTTGTGTATCTCTTCCCAGATATTTCCCCAAGCAATTATGATTATTCTGAATCACAACATGTCCTCTCATCTCCCCACTTTCTAGCAGCTGCTTGGGGAGTGGGTGATCAGGTGAGGCCTTTGAGGCCTCCTAGGGTCCCTATGCTCCTGGGTTTGAGGAAATCGGCAACTCCTGAGTGAACTGTAGCCCGCGGCTCTCCCTTAGCCTCATGACCGTCCTCTCTCCCCAGGGCTCGGGTGGCCCAGGTTGCTCCTCAGTTGCCGACCTCAGAGCTCCGGCAATAGCCTGGGCCACCCCAGTGGACGGCGAGCTCACCATGGCTAGCTCGGCCTCCAGCTCCTTCATGCGGTTGTCCTTGAGGTCCAGCTGGGAGCGCAGCGCGGCGGCGTGGTCCGTGGCCTCCTTGGCCTGCCGGCGAAGCTCCCACTTCTCCCGCTCCAGGAGGTCCTTCTCCTTGGCCAGCGCTTTGACGGCGTCTTCGCTCTCCTGTGGCGGGGGTGACAGAGAGGGGTGGGCGGGCTGCAGGGTGGCTGGCACAGGGGTGGAGGGCTCATGGGGTGGGCAGGGAGGTGGGGAGCCCCCGGCACACGGCTGGAATGGACTCCCTTAGGGAGCTCTTTCCCCGTGAGTAAACCTGGGGAAGGCACGTCTCTATAGGGAAAACGGGGGCGGAGCGAAACATGACGTTTTTCAAAGATGGAACAACTTCATGTGGGGAAAACAAAGTGTGATCTGATAAAAGTAGGGATGAGGGATGAAAGAGTTGTGTTTTTTTTAAAAAGGTGTTTTGTGTTTTTGTTGTTGTTGTTTTTTCGAGACAGGAGTTCTCTGTGGAGTTTTGGTGACTGTCCTGGATCTTGCTCTGTAGCCCAGGCTGGCCTTGAACTCACAGACATCTGCTTGCCTCTGCCTCCCTAGTGCTAGGATTAAAGGCGTGAGACAATGCTGCCCGGCCAGGCATTTTGTGTTGTGAGTCAGGGTCTCTATGTAGCTCAGGTTAGCTTCCAACTCTCTCTGTGGTCGAGGACAGTCTTGAACTTGATTCTCCTGCCTCCAATTCCCAAGTGCTGGCCCAGTTTCTGTGGTGCTGGGGATGGAACCCAGGGCATCACACACGCTGGGCAATCACTCTGCCAGCTCCACATTCCTAGCTCCTGGGGCTGTTGTTCCCCATCTATCCTGTAAGCATTCTGGGATGTCCCTGTGACCTGAAGCTTCACCCCAAAGCTTCTCACTCCCTAGGATCCCTACTCGCACCTCCTCTTCCAAGAAGCCTTCCTTGATCACTTGCTTAGAGTGACCACCTAGTGCCCTCTCCAGCCAGTCCTTCCTCATACCTGACCCTCACTCCAGACACAGCCAGACAAAGCTGTTTGTATGATCCAGAGTGGAGCTGACCACCCTGGGAGCTCCGTAAATGCCACCCTGGGAGCTGGCTGGTGATCCCGAGTTAGGAGAAAGACCCACTAGGACCCTTGGGATCCTTTTCACCTCTGAGTTTTCGCTTGTTCTGCTGGTTGTGAGCAGAGGAGGGCCCTGGGCTAGGTGGAAAGGGTCTGCGGGTGTTTTTGAAGAACTGGAGCCATGTCTCCATAACATCGTTCCCAGGGAGAGGCCAGCAGGCTCTGCATACATGCCTGTATTTGAACCTTACACCCACCCATGAGGTAGAGACTCCAATTATTTATTCCTGTTTCACAGAGGGGTAAACTGAGGCTCAGAGGAGAAACGCCCTCAGCCCACTGCTGATCACAGAGGCAGGAAAGAGACCCATAGAATTCCTTCCCTGGCGATCTGAAACTTGATGGGGCCTAGGGGCTATGGGTGGCTGGACCGTACAAGGGCAGGACAAGGCTAGGACAATTAAAGCCTTGCAGGCTAAGTCAGGGGCCTGAGGTGGGCAGTGGCAGGAGGCTACTGGGGTGGTGAGGTGGTGGCCACAGAGGATTGCCCTGTGTCTAGCTCTGATCTGGCTGCCTGGCCTGTGATGAGGACACCTCCAGCTGGCTTTGTGGACAGTCCCCAGCTGCACTCAGGGGACAGGGCGTGTGTCTCTGGCACAGTTTTCTGGGACATTGTAATTGAGAATTTTCTGGTCAGGCCAAGCCCTATGTTTGTCAGCAGCTTCAAGTCCCTGCTGTGCCCACCTGCTCCAGTTGGGGTCTGTGGGGGTCCCAGAGCCAGTGGGCCCCGAGAGGTTGAGAGCCTGCAGCCCAGTGACTGGGGATCCAGAGAGTTCTATTAATACAGTTCATTGGTTCCTACATAAGATACAAATCATGTTTGTCAGATAAAACCAGGGCTTCAGCTTCTACGTAATATCTCTAAGTATGTGGTAGAGAGCCTGCCTCGAATCCCCCAGTGAGGGCTGAGGTGCCAGTTCTGTGGTAGGCAGCCTGCCCTGCCCACATAAGGGAGATTCTGAGTTCATCCGGAACACCACAAAAATGAATAACCGATCTTGATCAGTCATTAGACCCTTAAGTGTCTTAATCTTGCTATCTGCAAAGTGGGCCTGGGCTGCCAGTGACTCAAGGTCATTCAGACACCACTCCTCTGGCTTCCCTATCCTGAAGGCACACAGGGGGCAGAGCAGGCAGGTGACACCTGGGCCTGGTGCTTAGAGCCATTTGACCCGAGAGGAAGAGATCTGCATGCCGGGGAAGTGACAGCGAGAGTCACCAGCAGGCATGTGACAATCGCGTCAATTCCAATCCGGCCTCTGCCAACTGGCCCCTAACTACAACTCAGACGTGGCTGGACCCACGGTGCTGTCTGCTACCACTGCACTGTAGTGCCACTCAACCTTCCTGTCCCCAAAGCTGCAGGCTGAACTGTCAGGTATGAATCAGGAATGCCTGTCACAGGATCCTGTTCTGCAGGCTTGTTTCCCCAGCGGGTGGCACTCTCTGGGGAGTGTGACGCCTTCAGGAAGTGGGGACAGGCAGGCAGAAGTAGGACCCTAGAGGTGAGCCTCAGAAGGTTCCATTGCTACCTCTGCTCCTGATACAGCACTCTGCGTCCAGTGTGCTTTCCTCCAGCCTTTCTACTTTTTCCGAGTCAGCCATGATGTGAGCGCCTCCATCGCATGCTGCCACTGCCACTAACTCCCTTACAGTCTGTCCCCTGCCCCCGCCGCTACACACTCCCACTGCCGTTAACTCCCTGACAGTTCCCCCTCCCTGATGGTCTGAAACTGTGAGCCTAAATAAGTCCTTCCCTCAAGCTGTTCCTGCCAGGCATTGGGGACACAGTGACACACAGGGAACACATATATGACCAAATGTTTTTACTTTCAGGTCCATGAACTCAATAGCAGCCCTGCCCACATGCTATGTGGAGGTCAGAAGCCAGTTTTCCCCTCACATCAGGTGAGTTCCAGGAATTGAACTCGGGTCATCAGGCTTGGCAGCAAGTGCCTTTACCCGCTGAGCCATCTTGCTGGCCCAGTTTTTCTGACCTGCACAACAATAGGCAAAAACACCTGAACACAGTGGCTCACAAAGGCCCCTGAGTGGGGCCTGACTTACACCTTGGAGGCATCTACTGCACACGCTATACAAGTCTTTGTGGACCCAAATCCCTCAGTCCTCAATCCACAAACTCCTCCTCATCCCACAGAGCCCAGGGTGGTGAATCTTGACTGTCAATTAGACAGGATCTAGACTCACCTAAGAGATAGGTCTCTAGGTGGATCTGTGAGGGGGTTTCTAGAAGGGGTTAACTGAGGTGGGAATTCCTACCCTGAGCGTGGGCAGCACCACCCTATGAGCTAGAGCTCCAAACTGAATAAAAAGGAGAACGTGAGTGAAGCATCCATCTCTTTGCTTCCTGACTACAGATGAGACATGAGCAGCCGCATGACCTCTCTCCCACCGGGATGGATTCTATCTTCCAACCAGAATCCAAAACAAACCCCTCCCCCATGAAACTGGTATGAAAACGCTGGTCAGGCATTTCATCACAACGAGAAAAAGTAAGTAATTAATATAGAACCCAACTCCTGTGCCACCTCCTCAGGCAGCCTTCTGAGCTCCCTCTCTGCAGGCAGAATGCCCTGCTGTCTCCCACTGCTCCTGGCTAACTCCTCACACTTCTGTGATGGTGTTATGGATGATGCATAGCTCATCGGGCTGGGTGCTGAGTGCTCAGTATCTCGGTCCTCACAACAGTTCTGCCCTTCCACAGAAGGGGAAACTGAGGCTCTAGGGTGAATGGGAGGTTCAAGGGTATGCCCAGAGGAGCAGGGAACTGAAACAGCTGGATTCCCAAGTCCACAATATCCAGGCCTGTCCACCTAGGGACAGAGGGCCCAATTGGGAGCTGGGCTGGTTTTCTTGGAGTGTCCAGATTGGAAGCACACAGCAGAGTCTCCAAGAGTGCTTTGGGATTCAAGGCAGAGACTGTACTTGGTCAAGAGAGGAGAGGACTGTGTATGTCTGAGTGGGGAGGGCAGGGGCTGGAGAGGGCAGGGGCAGGAGAGGGCAGGGGCAGAAGAGGGCAGGGGCTGGAGAGGCGCTGACCTTACGGTGCTGCTCATAGTTACGGATGAAGTCTCGCAGCTGCTCCTCCCGGCTCTCCAGAGTGGCGTACAGCTGCTGCATTTGGCTTACCAAGTCCGTCTTCTCTCCCTTTAAGCGCTTCCGGTCGGCTTTCATGGCTGTGGACAGGAGAGAGCGTCAATTAGCTCCTGCTGCCCTAGCTGTTCCTCTGGGTGCCTTTGGCCAGGTGAGGAAATGGGGTTCACCCACTCTGTGTCCCTCCTGGACCCCCTGCACCACTGCAGTGTTTCAGAATTGGGACCCAGGCCTGCTGTGTGAATGGCCCTTTCTTGTCTCTCTGATTTGACGATCTACAACGGAAGCCCCTGCATGGCGGCGACAGGGGCTCCTATGAGGGGAGGTGGCAACAAGGGAAAGGGCGACAAGGTCCAGGAGAAATGGAAGGGAGAGAGATAGAGAGAGGACATAGAGATGAGAGGCAGACAGACAGAAAGACAGAACAATACACAGGAGACACAGGGAGACAAAGTCAGCCAACTGATTTTGCTCTAGGGCCCAGGGGATTGAACATTCTCAGTGGGGGTTGGGAACCAGTCCACCCTTGAGGCCGAAGTGGGGTGGGATTCAGTCAAGAGGCCCTGGAAATAGGAGTGTAGGTACCCAAAAGTACCTGAGCAACCCATCTCCTCCACCTAGGCCCGCCTCCTGTCCAAGACTCTCTCGTCAGCCCACCTGATTTCTAACATGTAAGGGTTTAATGACACACAAGATAAGACACCCAACAGCATGGGCCACACAGGGCTGGACTCTGTCAAATTAAAAACTCTGTGCCCCACAGGGAGACATGGAGAACAGGAAAAGACAGCCCTCAGAGGGGAGAAAATACCTGCAAATCCCATATCCAATAAGAGACATCTATAATATAAAAATATAAATCCCAAGCCGGGCGGTGGTGGCACACACCTTTAATCCCAGAACTCAGGAGGCAGAGGCAGGTGGATCGCTGTGAGTTCGAGGACAGCTTGGTCTACAGAGTGAGTTCCAGGAAAGGCGTCAAAGCTACACGGAGAAACCCTGTCTCATCTTGAAAAACATGTACACACACACACACACACACACACACACACACACACACACACACACACCATATCCCAAGCCAGCAAAATGGCTCAGCTGGTAAATGTACCCATGGTCAAGCCTAACAACCTGGGTTTAATCACCAGAACCCACACACACACACACACACAATTAAATGCAATAAAAAATGTAAAAAATAAATTCTCACAACTCAACAATAAAAAGACAACTGCTGGGGCTGGAGAGAGGGCTCAGCGGTTAAGAGCACTTGCTGCTCTTGGAGAGGACTGAAGTTCATTTCCCAGCACCCACCAGGCAGCTCACAACTGCCTCCAATTCCAGTGGCAGGATTTCTGATGCCCTCTTCTGGCCTCTGTGGGTACTGCACTCATGTGCACTTACACACACACACACACACACACACACACACACACACACACACACAGCCACAGCCACATAAGTTTTTTTATTTTTTCTTAAAGACACCTGTGAGGGTCGATTTTGATTGTCAACATGATAGCAATGAGAAATGTCTGGGAGATTAGTGAGCACACACTGGGTGTGTATGTGAGGGCATTTTCAGAGGCCATTAGATCCTGAGGGCACTGACTTCATCAGTGGCTGGATTCACAGTCTGAATACAGTGTCGGGAGTGGGCAGGGCTGTGGAAGCCAGGGCCTAGGTGGAGGAGGTGGGCTGCTCAGATCAGGCCCCCGTTGGCCCTGGCCACTCCCCCTGCTTCTCTACTGTCTCGAGGTGAACAGGTAGGCTCTGCCATGCCCATGCTGCCATGGTTTCTGTCTTATGCTGGCCCCAAAACAACGAAGCTTGCCAAGCAGGTACTGAAACCCCAAACACCACAAATCAAAGGAAAGCTTCCTTTAAAATGGTTTCTCTTAGGTTGTTCGTCACAAAGCCTAACACAACTCGTTTATATATTAAAAAAGAAAACAAGAGAAGACATCCCACTTTTAAAAAGAGGTAAAGAGTCTTTCTTTATATAGCCGCCCAAGAAATGACTGGGAAGTACAGAATGAAATGCAAAATAAAGACACAAGGAGGGCCACTTTACCCTCTGGATGGGCTAAAATTCAACAGACAATAATGAGTGTTGGCTAGACCTGGGAGAAACTGGATTCCTAGTACATCCTCACACATGCTGGGCCACACACGATGCAGATGCCTTGGAAAACAGCCTGGCACTTTCTCGAAAGACCAACCATACACTCACCATATGGCCATCGTTTTCACTACCAGAAATACACCAAAGATAAAGAAAACCACCAGGCTGGGGACAGAGCTCAGCTGGCAAAATGCTCACCTAGCACAACCAGGTCCTGTAGCCCCTGCATTTCATGGGCCAGACATGGTGGCTGGACATGGTGGTTCACACCTGTAATCCCAGCACTCAAGAAGGTAGAGGCAGAGAAATGGGAGTTCAGGTCAACCTCGGCTACATAGCAAGTTTGAGGCTAGCCTGATCTAGAAACTTGACCTCAAAATGAAAGAGAAGAGAGAGAGAGAGAGAGAGAGAGAGAGAACCAAAACCAGATGTAAAATCCTATATATATACAGCTGGGCGGTGGTGGCACACGCCTTTAATCCCAGCACTCGGGAGGCAGAGGCAGGAGGATCTCTGTGAGTTCAAGGCCAGCCTGGGCTACAGAGCGAGATCCAGGACAGGCACCAAAACTACACAGACAAACCCTGTCTCGGAAAACCAAAAAAAAAAAAAAAAAAAATCCTATATACAGGGTCTGGAGAGATGACACATACGTTAAGAGCATGCACTGCTTTTGTGAAGGACCAGAGTTTGGCTCTCAGCACCTATATCAGCCTCCTCACAACTGCCTGTAACTCCAGCTCCAGGGGATCTGGCGCCCTCTTCTGACCATCACGGAAACCTGCACTCATGTAAACATACTCACCCACACATACACGATTAAAAATAAATATTTAAGAAACCTCTGTAAATAAGCAAGTGTTAATCATAAGAAGCAAAATCCAAATGTTCAGCCAGGGATGGCAAATGACAAAATGAGACTCATCAACATAGCGAAGCATGATTTAACAATGAAACGCTAAGCCAAAGCAGTCGGTGGCAGCCAGTCATTGACAGCTACAAAATGTGAGTCCAAAATGTCCCCAAGAGGAACCCATGGAGACTGAGCAGAGAAGCTGATGGAGAAGACAGAGGTGGGGTGATTACAAAGGACGGAGGCTTTTTCTGAGGTGAGGCGATTCTAGAGCTCAGCTGTCCGGAGTTCCAACTCTGACTGTGTTAAAAATCACAGCCCCATGAAGTTCAAGCAGGTGAGTTGGGACATATGAATTCACTCTCAAAACTGTCCAAATAAATCAAACCAAACAAATGTCACATGCTCTGAGGAAAAGGCAAAGCAGTGTCATTGCCAGGTCCCCTCCCCGCTCCCACAGATTCTGTGCCCCCAGCACTAGCACCTGGGTGGATGGAGCAACTTCAGAGTCGGCTGGAATTGAAGGGTCTCCCCAGTGCCCCTACAGTTCCATGCTATCCCTTGCATAGGACAGCAGAGAAAGGTTTCTGAGGCTCAACATGGAGGTGGCAGGAGCAGGGTGAAGTAAGTCCTGGGTTCTGGAAGCTTCCAATGTGAGAAGGCCCAGAGTGATTAAGTCTTTTGTCCAAAGGCAAATAGCCATGTGTAACTCCAAAGCCCATGTAGTTCATCTTATGTCATCCTGCCCCCTTGTGAGGCTCCCCAGATCTGAGTGGTCTCCTATGGCACGGTACGCACAGGACCGTGGTATGGGGCAAGCAGTGTCTACCCACCCTATCATCTTGTTCTGCACACACAATTCTGCAGGCTCAGCCTGTGTGCATGAAGGAATTAGGGACAGGGGTCAGGCCCAAGAACCAAGAACCCTAGCTCCTGGGCCTGGCAACCAACGTAAGCTAATGTCTTCCGGCCCTCCTGCCCTTTGCCCTCTCCCCCTAGGTAGAACAGGTGGGAGGTGGGGCATCTGGGGCCATGCCACTGCACACAGAGAGCCACGGGGAACCCCACGCAGTGGGGACTCCAGGGCTGGTCGGCATTCAAAATTCCAGCTTTGAGCCTCCTGGTGAATCCTGCTGACTTTGTCCTCTCCTCAGCCAGCTTGGCTGCACAGCAGCCGAGATCACCAGGGCTAGGCTCCCAGACCTACTGAGCTGAAAGCTTGCAGGGTGGAGCTGAGGACACAGCTGGGCCAGCTCTGTGCCCTCCCTCCAACACGGTGTAGCCTGTTACGGGGGAACCTGGCTTTCAGACGCCCCAGCATCCAGGAAGGCAAGATGGTTTAGCAAATAAATGCGCTCGTCACCAAGTCTGATGACCCGAGTTGGAACCCCGAACACACACGGTGGGAGAGAACTGATCCTGAAAGCTGTCGTCTGACTCCTTGCACACATGCTACAAAATAATAAATAAATAAAACGACACACGAACAAAGAGACTCCAAGATCTGACAAAGTCACCTAGTCAGCAAGCACCCTACAGACAGGCCGGGGCCAGCACCAGAGGGCATCCCCACCTGCCACCGGCTGGCACTTCAGACGTATTTCTTATGGAGGTGGGTGGATGAGCCCTCTTATCCCATCTCAGAGAGGTCATTCTGGCCACGCAGTCAGGTAGGGCAGAGCTGGGGCACTGTGGAGCAGGGGCAGTGTCCTCAAGGCCTTGGTTGGTACCCCCAACCCTTGCCACCTTTGTCCTTTGGTTAGAAACTGAACCCCTAGGATTCTGATTTGCCCCATCATAAGCTTTATCCAAGCCTGCCGTGGTGGTACAAGTACTTAATCCCAGCACTCGAGAGGCAGAGGCAGGCAGGATCTCTGTGAGTTCAAGGACAGCCTGGTCTACAGAATGAGTTCCAGGACAGCCAGAGCTACACAGAGAAACCCTGTCTCGGAAAACAACAACAAAACAAAACAAAACAAAAAAGCTTTATCCAGTAAGAACCAGCCTTTCTTCTCAGCTGCTTGCAGACCCACCAGGTCAGGATGCTTTGAGACAGGACAGCATGTCCCAGTGTCTGAGGGGCTCCCCATGATGTACAGCCCAAG